GTATAGGTGGGTTTTTAAATATTATTTTTATTTTGTTTGACATAAAATATTTAAATGTAATCCATTATTCATGATTTTACGTAAAGTAGATAGAATACACCATATGTCGCCACCCTTAGATATACCAAACCTGCCCACTGGTAATTCATTTGTTTGGAATGCCTAATTATAAGTAATTATGATGGGTTTATGCACGAATTTAATTTAACGTAATTTAAGAATTAAGCCCTCCTATTGGCTGTGATCACCTTATTGGCTGCTCTTGCGTTAAATTAAATTGTGTGCATAACTATTCCTTTAGAAAAAAATGTCAGTTTGAATGGCATTGTTGACAAATAAAACACGTATTGCGCATGCTTGCTACGAATACTACGGGTTTCGGAATCGACCAAAACGCGGGGCAATTCGATAGCGAATAGGAATAGCAAATTTCTCGATATCGTATTTGGTTGCGAGTATCGAAAGCCATTCGATTTCGCATTTCGCACTGATTTGGAATCTCACTGCTGATGTTGAAAGTTTCTTCTACGAACAACTCATTTTTCTATTCAACTGGACGAGTCAACTTTACCTGGCAATGAAGCATTATTATTGGCATATGTTCGATTTGTTATGGGTGACATGAAGAGCTACTATTCGCAAAAACTTTGAAGACGGACACTAAAGGTGAATCAATATTTAATGTTTTAAGTTATTTAAAAAAAAAATCGATTCCATTCATAAACGTTATTTCGGTGGCAACAGATGGAGCTCCTGCCATGGTCGGGCGATATCGTAGGTTTATAAGCCATCTTAAAAAAATTATACTAGAAGTAATTGCGATTCACTGTGTTATCCACTGACAACATCTAGTAGCGAAAAATTTGAATGATAGATTGCACCAATCGCTTCAATTTGTGATTAATGCAGTTAATAAAATAAGAAGCAATGCATTGAATACGCGTTTATTTGCTCAATTGTGCGATGAAAATGATGAAGACTTTCAACGATTACTGTTACATACCGAAGTGCGCTGGTTGTCGAAAGGTGCATGTCAAGATTTTATTTACTTTTTGACTCAGTTTTAGAGTTTTTGGAAAGTAAAGATCCTGATTTAAAAAAAAAGTTGATGAATTTTAAAGCAGACATCGCGTATTTGACAGATTTGTTTAAAAAATTTAATGACCTCAACTTACAATTACAAGGGGACAGCCTCAATTTAATAAAAACAAAGAGTGTAATTTCAGCTTTTCTTGGTAAATTGAAATTTATGAAGGAAAATATTGGTCGGCGCGAATTTTCACAGTTTTCAAACTTATCGCAGGTAGAATGCCTTGATAAAGATATTCAGACATACGTTCAACATTTGATTGCCTTGCATGATGATTTTAAATTCAGATTGGAAGATATTCTCTCAATGGAAATACCACCATAAATCCATTTGATGAAACGGAAGTGGAGAATGTGATATTACAAGAGGAGCAGTAAGGAGGAGCTGAAAGTGACATTTAAAAGAGGGTATCAAAAATTTAGGTGCAGGCAGAAATACCCAAAAAATATCCTGGACTGTGCGGATTTGTGCAGAAGCTTCTGATAGCGTATCCCTCGTCGTATCTCGTCGAAAAAAGTTTTAGTGCCGTTACAAACTTATTAACAAAAAAAAAAGGAGCAGATTCAATATCACAGAAAGGGGAGATTTACGGTTATTTCTTACAAAACTCAAGCCAAATATTGATAATTTGCTGTCAATCCATCAAGTACATCCCTCTCATGCGTCCCATTAGACTGAACGGAGAAAGATAGAACAATTACACGTACAATTGTCTTTACATAAACAAAGAGAGGGTTGCGTACAGAGATATTCTAAATATAAATAAAAACTCCCAGGCCGGATATTTTGGTAAGTAATAGAGATATTTTAATTCTGTAAGAGCCAGTTCATAGAGCACTAAGAGAGCTTCAGTTTTAGATATAAATTAATTTTAAATAGGTCAATATGTAGATGGCGCTGCGCTCAATATATTTTTGTCGATGGGAGGATCTTTCTTATGTAACGCATTTTGTAAAAAATGCAGTTTTAAGCAGATTTTGTTTTATAAACTAATGCGATAAATCTAGCCATTTTTGATATACAGAGTGGGTCACTCTAAACAGTTTCCTCCTGTTTTTCAGCATTAATCATTGGATTTTAAGAACATGCTAAAACAGGTTGATTTTTATTTCAAATTAAAAACATTTTTACAATACTGACATCTGTCATGTGTCAACCCCTTCCCTTGCACTTTTCCAACACCTTAATTTTAAATAGGTATTGTACCATGTATGGCACATCATTGAAAAGGTAATTTAATGGAGAATTCCGAAATATATCTGTATATTGCATTACTTAAATTGTATTGCCCTCTAGCGGGATAAAAAACTACTACGTATTATAGAGTGTGACACTACAATGTGAAGTATATCATTAAACAGGTAATTTTATAGGGAATTTACAAATATGACTGTTCATTGCGATACTTTTAATTGAACCGCCCTCTATCGGGATAAAAAAAACTGTACGTAATATAAAGTGTGACACCTTATTTGAAAGCAAATTTAATTACCAATTTAATGCACCAAATAACATTAATATAAATATCCTCCATATTGCACTTGCAATAGTTTGAAAATTAGTCCTGCATTATTTTAAACATTATTGCTAACTTTATTTTGTTGCAAGTGCAATATGGAAATATTTATAATAATGTTATGGGTGCATTAAATTAGTAATTAAATTAGCTTTCAAATGAAGTGTCACACTTTATAATATATTACAGGTGTTTTATCCCGATAGAGGGCGCTAAAATTAAAAATATCGCAATAATTACAGTTCATCAAATTTCTAGAGGCTTTCGACGGCTAGACAGAGAAAGCACTACTGACAGGCATCTCGACGGATTTACGCAATGAAAGTACACTCTGCGCATCAAGTATTTCACTATTTCATTCAGACGTAAATGTCAGATGTAAATTTCGCTAAAACATTTCTTTTATTTTCGTTTGTGTTTTTTGCTCATTACAGTTTAATAGAACCTAAGTATGGAATTTAATAGCAAATTAAGAGGCCGCGTGATTAACAGTCAATCTCGCGAAATAATAGCCAATGTTATAGAGTTTATGAGAAGAGAAGGAAACTTTAATTTACCTTCAATACCATTTAAAAATGTAAATGATCGTGTTGCTGCAGCCACAGGAGTATCTAAAAACACTGTCGTCCGCATTTCTGGAGAGAAAAAAAGAATCGATAACCGTGAGATATCGGAATTTTCATCACCAAGAAAACCATTAAAAAACCAAAAACAGTTAATGATATAGATGAAGCTGCACAAGAATCAAATTTTATTTTTTTATTATTAGATAGCTATTTTTGTTTCTGAGTTGTGTTCATTTACAGGCTCAATTTTTTTCCGTTTCTCCTTTTTGATTTTATATGGGGTTTCAAGTTGTTTTTGACTTATTTCGACGTAAATCACAACAACACACTTTTTTAATAAAGCAAACAAGTGCTAAGAGGTATATGTACGTGTAAACTACAATTACAAAAAATTGATATGAAACCCATGAAACCACCAACAAAAATGTAAAGCTAGCTTCCGTACTAGAACATGGTGTCATTCGTCGAGATAATTTATCGTTTTGTTAAATAGATCAAGAAATGTAAATATTCCCCTGTTATTTTTTATAAAATTATAAGAGAAATAAATTTTTTTCTAAATAGTATAGTTTATTATTTTGTAGAAAAACAAAATTTCGAAAATTTTAGTAATGTTTCAGAAACAACCGTTATCAATAATAGGTACCATTTTCCTTAATAAGGTAGAAATAAAATATAAACTATTTCCACGATTTACAAAGGCCTACAAAAAAATTATAGGTATTTTCCGCTATCCTATAAAATTTATATTTTCTTACTCAATTTCAAAAGGTTGAAGGAATTCCAAAACACCTTTTATGGCATAATAATTATTTTCAATTCTACATACTATCTTTAGCTGCTTTTAAAAACGTTCTAAGAAAGTCCAATCAGACCAATTTAATCCCTAAACTATTCCACACTTTTAAAATTTAATTACCTAAAAATATTAAAAACTATTTAAAATAACTTGTTTAGCAGACTGTACAATAGCTATCTTAGTCACACGTAGCGCGTTCTCTGTCTGGGCGTCGAACACCTCTAGAAATTTGATGAACTGTAGTCATATTTCTGACTTCCCCATAAAATTACCTTTTCAATGATGTGCCGTACATGATACATTCCTTATTTAAAATTAAGGGGTTGGAGAAGTAGAAGGGAGGGGGTTGACACATGACAGATGTCTGTATTGTAAAAATGTGTGCAATTGGGAATAAAAATCGACTTGTTTTATCATTTTCTAAAAATTCAATGATTAATGCCGAAAAACAGGATGAAACTATTTTGAGTGACCCACTCTGTATATCAAAAATGGCTAGATTTATCGAATTAGTTTATAGAACAAAATCTGCTAAAAATGCATTTTTTACAAGATACAACTCCTCTTCATAAGAAAGATCCTCTCATCGAAAAAAATATATTGAGTGCAGCGCCATCTACATATTGACCTATTTAAAATTTATTTATATCTAAAACTAAAGCTCTCTTAGCGCTCTATGAACTGGCTCTTACATAATTAAAATATCTCTATTACTTACCAAAATATCCGGCCTGGGAGTTTTTATTGGTACACCCTGTATACCTCTCAACTTCGACCGAACGGAAAGCGGTGGCAGAGCCTTTTAATGCCGGTTGTTATTAAATAATTTATGTGTATTTATTTAAGTCGAGTTTTATTTTTCTCATTGGAGATAGCCACATTTGAGAGCTTGGATTCTCTTCTTAGTTTACATTTTTATTACTTATTTTGTTCTAGTTTTATGTTTTAAATTTGCATATTATTTCAATACCAACTGAATTCCTTTGTTTTCGTTAAATCTCAATTAGGTATAACAAAAAAAAGACTCACCTGCATGTTCTTTCATAAATTGGTTATATCCTTCCATAAAACTAAATAGTCCAGCCAT